GGAAAAAGTAGATTTATATTCATTTAGGTCTGATAAAAAAAACAAAAAACACAGAGAACCTACATAATTGTAGATTTCAATATATTAACTAAAGTGTTGAAATATTCAAATAGATAGAAACAAGAACAATGAGAAGGAAATAGTCAAGATCTAAGTACCTTTTCATCCGGGTCTTTATCCATAAATAAACAGCATGCTTTAAAATATTTGCTTCCTTTAGGTAACAATTAAAGAAGGTTTAGTATCAGTTCTTATGAGCTGGAAGAAATAAAATCTTAATATTTAGACAAAATGATTTTTTAATGCTTGGCAGAAGATGATCAGCAACATATAGTTTATTAAGTAGCGAGAGCAGGAGGAGCCATGCTGCTGAGAGCAAACCGTCATTGTGGAGCACAAAGCGCAGACTTGGCGCTACGCACGCACAAAGACGCATTTTTGCACAAGCGCAGCTGGAAGAGCAGAGTTTATCAGAGTTGAACTCGCGGTCCTGGTTCATTCTGGGTTACTTTTCCCCCCTGCCGATGCTGCCATGATTCATCTGTGGTCATCCAGAACGTGCACCGCTGCACGCAACGTGGTCGGCGTCAACCAAACAAGGCGCAGCAGCTGATACTGCTTAGCTTTTCTAACAGATTAACGTACAATGATGCATTTTAAACTGCTCACGCACCACCCGCTAATTTTTATGTTACCGGTATGTTAATTTACGACGTGTTCTGACTCCTTTTTGTTTCCCTCCAGCTTCCTATGAAGGTCGCGCATCAGAACACACACAGCAAAGTCAGCACAGACCACAACAAGGAATGCTTGATCAACATCTCAAAGTACAAGTTCTCCCTGGTTATCAGCGGCCTCACCAACATCCTTAAAAATGTCAACAACATGGTAAGTAGACCCGGCCGTCTCAGGGCTTCTCTTCTACTTCTGGCAGCAGGAGGAACCCGACTGGAGAGAAAACACTATTTATTTTTTTTATTTTTTAGTAACTATAAGAAATGACTGAAGGTCTGGTTATAAATCCAGTTTTATTTATAACAAGATCAAAAGAAGAAGTCAAAAGTTAAGAATAAGTGCTTTTTTAAGCTTTTAATAACGTCAGGGATGAGCAGCTTGAATATTATTGAGTCTAGGGCTGAAACAATGAATCAAATTAATCGATTATTGGAATAATGTTCAACTAATTTAGTAACAGATTAATCTTTAACTAGAGTTTAAAACATGCCTTTAGCTGACAGAGTGACCCAGTTATATCAGTAACTATATCAAAATTGTAAAAAAAAAACAAAAAAAAAAAACATTTTGCATTTAATATGGGGGAAAAAAGGTTCTGTCAATCTGCTCTACCAGAGCTCCTCAAGGGGAAAAGATTTATATCCCATTTACACTACCCTTGAAAAACCGTTCTGATACCGGTCCGCTCAGTAACTGAGATAACTTATGGTGTGTAAATGGAAAGCAAACTGAACTGAACCGAGCTAGACACAACCGGATCGCGCTAACTGCGGACCAGTTCCAGAGGTGGGCTCGGCTTGGTTTTTCCCTGGCTTGGTTCTCTGATAACAAGAGCGCATGAGCAGAACGCGTCATCTCCGTCTGGCTGCACATCCGGATTCACACTCCATTCCAGTAGATGGCGGTAATGCCCCTCCAGAAACAGAAGAACAACAACTTCTTCAACTATAAACAACAATCGAAATCTTCTCCACGCAACATTTTAAATAAT